CCAGAAGGAGGGAAGGAAAGAAAGAAGGAGAAAGGGAGAGAAAGAAAGAAAGAAAGAAAGAAAGAAAGAAAGAAAGAAAGAAAGAAGCCTGCACCTGGCTCTTCTCTCTCTGAGTAGGGTCTTCTGCTTCCTGTCTGCCCCTTCCCCTCAGCTGGACCATCTTCCTCTCTTACTCCACTAGCCTGGCCTCTCCTTCTCACTTCCTTTCCTTTTTGCCACTTCATCTGAAGTTTCTAGGAAGGCCAAAGAGTCACTGGGGGAGAGTGGCAGGCCCAGCCAGAGTCCCCACCTCCAAAAGAAAGGGGCAAGAGGCACCTCTGGTGTTGGAAGGAAACGGAGGAGGGAAGCCGGACTTGAGGAAAGGGGACAACAGCAACCATGTAGGTCACCTTTCCAGGGGGGTATTGTACTTATTCCCCACAACAGCTCAATTTAAGCAGCCGGTATTGCCCCCAGATCACAAACGAAAGACAAAAAACACAACGGACATTCAGAGAGGTTAAGTAAGTTGTTGCAGGTCACACAGTAAGTGGGAGAATAACTAGGTCATTCGCCTTCCACTTCCCCCGAATCACTTCTCCAGACGCCACTGGTACACGTCCCTGGCCTGTCCTCCCTGCCCCCCGCCCCAGGGGCAATGGGGATGGGGAAGGGCATCATGTACAGGAACGAAAAGAGATGCTCAGGTTTCGGAACATCTGACAGGTCTGGCTGGACGTATTAAAAATTCATGTAGAAACCTGACCCCAGCCGGACCTTGGGTCTGCCACCTGGACTGTAGCCGGCCTTGTGGTCTCTCAGAGGCTGGTGGGCAAACTTCCCTTCAGCAGTGTCCTGCAAATCTTTGTATTTCGGAGGAGAGGGGTTCTCTCGTGGATCAGGGATCTAAAGTCAGGAGCCAGCAGCTCAGAGAGCAGGGCTGAGAACCCTTCCCCCTACTGAGTGTAAGAACCTTAGAGGCTTAAGGGCTTATAAAGGCCGTCATCTGGCGTCCTTCTCCTGTTCCTCTCCCCAGGCGGCTGGCTGCTCACGTTCAGTTCACGTTGACAGAAGCCTGTCTGTGATTCCCAAGGTGGCCAGTGGGGGGCAGCCGTCTGCTTCGAGGTAGCCTGAGCCCGAGCCTCTCTGCTGCAGCTTTGAAGGACAGTCAAAAGAACTCCCACTGAGAAGGTCAGAGAGGTGCAGACTGGGCCTTGGAGAAGGGGTCTGGAGTCTGGAATCTGAGGAGCGGGGGAGAAGCGTCCTACTTTGGGGGAGATTGAGGAACTTTGAGCTTTGTGGGTTTCAAGTGCATGATCCAATCATTCTAGCTTTTTTAGAGTGAGGATTTGGGGTGAGGCCATGAGAGAAAAGGCTAGAAAGGCAGTTGGCACCAGACTCTGAAGGGTCTTTGATGCTCTGCTAAGGCATTTTATCTGTAACCTGTAGGCAGTAACGACGCATTGTAGGTTTCTGAGTGACATAAGGACATAATGCAAATTTTGGTCAGATGAATCTGGCCACCATGGGCAGGCTGGGTGGGAGGGAGAGACTGGATGTAGGAAAACCAGAGAGGAGGTTATTGCTATTTTCTTCTGTATTCTAGGCATGAGGTAATGAGGAGATGAAGCAGGGAGGTGGTGGGGGGATGGAAAGGAAGGGGTGGGTTGAGACAGAACTGGGTAAGTGAGCAGACACAGGACATTAGAGAGAGGAGTTAAGCACAGCCAGCCGGGGGGCCTGGCAGACAATGCAGAATGTGGGTAGAGGTGAACGATGCTTTGTTTCCTTCCAGGGTGGGGAGTCTTGGACAAATCCCTTCCCCTCTCTGGGCCTCAGTTTCCCCATCAGAGCACCGACGGTTGGACTGGATGGTCTTAACGGCCCCTCCTGTTTCAGGGTGTGGGGTTCAAGGCTGTGACTCTGAGTTGTTTGGAGACGCTGGGGGTCTGTGCCAGTCAGATCTCTGGAGGTGGTCGGTGCACGGAGTCCTGTTTCGGTGGCCGTGCGGCTATGCGTGCACGCCGGTATTTGGGGTACATCTGCCTGTCTGTGGGACCCGTGGGTGTCAGCCTGCCTGCACGTGCTCCGTAGCTCTGCGTTGTGTGAGTGTGTGTGAGAGAGCGTGTGAGCGTGGGTGTGCACGTGATGGGCGTCCGTGGGTCTGTCTGGGCTGGTGGGGGTGGGGTGGTGGAAAGAGGCTTTGCTGTAGGTTTCTTCCTGAGGCTCACACACTCCTCTTGCTTTCACTGTTCTGAAATAGAATCTGGACCGAAGGCCCATGAATATTTCACAACGATAATTCTGTGACCTGGACGGCCTGCATCTGATTTCCCAGCACCCTCCCTTGCCCTGCCCAGCCCCCAGCAGCTCGTCCTCCATCAGAGCTCTTGGCCCCCTGGTCCCAGTAGCTAGCCTCCTCAAAGTCAGCCTGACACAGGCACCTGGGAGACCCCCGACCCAGAGCTCCCCAGGTTCCTGACTAGCTAGCCGTTTTCACTATCTCCCCACCCACCCCACACACTATCCAAAGTCGGCCTGCCTCAGGCCTTCAGCGTCCACTCCTTCCTGTTTCTGCCTCCTCTCCTGGCCAGCCTTCTATTTGCCCGGCCAGAGTCACAGAACCTCTGCACCCCTCCCGTCTGAGCGCTGGCATCTGGTCCCCTCTCTTGCCACTCCCACCCCCCAAGGTAGCTTCTTAATCCTAAATGTAAACCATCCACCTTCTCCCTAGGTTGCTCTGGTGAGACTCACTCCTAGGCTCCATCCCAAGTCCTTCTTAGTCGAGCTTTTTCCTTCCCCTCAGTCTCCCCTTCACACACTGGAAAGATGAAGCTTCTGGTCATACCTCAAGCCAGCAGGACACCCCAACTTGGGACTCTTGTCCCTCTGGTCACCCCAGGACCTCAGTCTCTCTTCTAAACTGCTTGCAGGACTGCTTCTCTGACCTGGTCCATCCCACCTTGCAGGAGCCATGGGAAAGAGAACATTGACCTGTAGGGTTAGGCTGCACACTGCACAAAGGCACTCAGCCAACGGGGCCAGTGTGAGCTGAAATTCAGCCTTAGGCTCCGCTTGCTAAGGTGTTTGCTGTGCTGTGGGGCTGGGTTCCCCTGAGGAAGAGGTGCCTTTTTCAGATTTGCCCAA